TGAATCACCAGGGGGCGGCGGAGTTAATGGTAGTTGGCCTGTCCCGCCGACGTGCCTGGTTCGTGGATTAGGGGCGTTTTGGAGGCCGTCTGGGGTGTCTTAAAAGTTTTTTGGAGCTTCCAGGAGCCTCCTGGGGGCTTAGTCGGAGCCTCCAACGCATCTTGGGTGCCTGGGCTCGGGCCGGCCCCCGCAGCTTTGGGAGGGGACTTTTGGGCCCTTTTTGGGGGCCGCCTCGATGCTGGGAGCGGGGTGGTTGACCCTTCGCGAGCTGCAATAGGGGTCGCTTGCCCCCCCCGTGATGGTTCCAACATGGCGCGATGGCGCGATGGCTTCGAAATTCGCACAAACGCATTATGTTGGTCCAGGATGGCCACGAGAACGGCTCCGAGAAATCTGCAGTGGCCACCACATGGCTCGTAGCGGCCCAAGGCTGCGCCCCTCTCAAGGCCCAAGGACAGCTTCAAAAGGGCTGGACTCCGAAGCTAGGCTTCCAATTGAGGACCTTTCCTTTTCGTTGACGGCCTCTTGGATGGTCCTAAGACTGCCGGGAATACTCCCCAACGGGCCCCAGGAGAGCCCCAAATGCCTCCCCACCCGCCCAAAAGCTTCCAAACCGGCGCCACAACGGCCCCGAAAAATTTGACCCTGGCAACTCCCACCTTCGGCTCACGGGTGCACCCCCTGTTTTGATGCCGATATAAACTGATCCAATTCCCTGCGTACGGCAAGTCGCCGAATAATATTTCCTGAGCAAGCTGACCGGATAAACGAACAACGTAACGTCAATATTGTTCCTTCCAGCGTCTAACGGGTGCCCCGAAGCATGAAGAAGAACACCGCCCTGGACACATATGTATCCTTTCGCAAGAACAGGCATTCCAACGAGCTTTTCGCCACTCTTTTTAAACCACGGTGCTGCGTGGGTAGGTGTGCATTTCTTTTGTCTGCACCGGAGACTAGCCATGCATTGGCACAAAGCATGTGTAGGACCTCGAACGAAACATGTAGTCAAGACCACGTAAGAAATGCGAAGGACAATGCTGCAGACTTGCGCGTCGGGAATCGATCTCCAAATGCCGTGGAACATATGCAGAACGGAACTGGCGCACATTATATGATGACAGACTCCCCGTAACGCTACGATTGTTGAAATGCGTTCGGCGACCCCGCGGTAATTGTCTTTCTGCGAGCCTGTTGCCGACTTAGTAACGAAACCACATTGAAAGTCTAGCCACGGAAATAGACATAATGGATCATCAATGCCGCAACTGTTAAAATGTTTTGTTGCCCGAGAATGGGCCAACAATACCCCGTACCTGAACACGTGCCCTCACTTTCGGGTAACCCGTTATACGCGTATTGCAAGCTGTTTCGAACAGATGTTGCATAATGCGGCCGCTGCTACACACTCCTGCCTTGGAGCCGACAGCCCGAGCGTGGCAAGGAAATCCCACCAGCCCTCTGGGCGTAGGTGGTCTAGGGTGTTTCCTCTTCCACCCCCTTCTTCCCCTTCGTGGAGGGGTTTACCCCTCCCGCGACCCCCTCCCCTGGACCTGGACGGGGCGTTCCGCGAGCGGTCGGAACGTCTACGATGTCCCAAGTTGGCTCCAACAGGGCCTCAGAGAGCCCAATATTGCCTCGAAGATGGCTCAAGATGGCGCAAGATGCCTCGAGACGGCCCCCAAGATGCCCCAAGACGGCTCCAAGTGGCCAAAAGAGCTCCCCAAGGAGGCCCCGAGGAAATGAAACTCCTTCAAACAACATTAAACAACATGTTTCTGGGTTTCCCACCTTTTCGCTTCCGATGGCCTTCCGAGGCTTCAAGATGACTCCAACATAGCATGAGGGGCTCAAGAGAGCCCCAAGACGACCCCAAGAGCGATCCAAAGCGCTCCATGAGCGCCCCAAGAGCGCTCCAAGAGGCGACTTTAGGGGCTCCCGAAGGGCAAGGCTAATTAGGGAACCCCCCTTCTTTGATCGATCTCCCCCAAAATGGCCCCAAGAGCGTTCCCAAGGCTCCAACATGCGTCCCAAGAGGGCCAACAGAGGCGCCCAGACGGCCCCAAGAGGCGTCCAAGACGCCTCCAAGAGGCTCACAAGAGACCCCAAGAGGCCTCAAGAGGATCCCTGAGGCACCCCAGACGCTCAAAGATCTCCCTGGGCCCGCCAAAAAGCCACCCTGACGTCCCAATCAGCCTCCAAAAAAGCTTCCGAGGAGACTCCGAGAGGCATTCAATACGCTTATGGTTCTTCTGCTCGCCCTTTTCCTCCACCTCAGACTGACAATAGCTCCCCCGCGAATCATGTTTGGATGGGCCAAGCACGCCCCAAGACGCCCCACAACGACAAGACATCCATATGTGTATTGTGTAGTTCTGTTTCTCTACATGCTTACATACTTCCCTTATCGTGACACTTCGCCTGGGCATCGGTTATGGATGGGCTGGTGGGGATACTTTTAGTCAGCGGCCGCAGGCGAGCGCGCCAGCGGCGGGTCCAGTCAAAGCGGGGCACGCAACGACGAATGGCTGGTGAGGACACTGGAAGCGCCAACAATTGTCATCATGAACTTTCTTCGCGCCATGCATTATGAACTCGAACGGATTCCTTTTTTGTAACCTGGAGGTATATGTTGCGGGTTGCAAGCCGCGCCTGGTGTCCCAGGCGAAGCTGTCGCTCTACTCGCCGACTTAGCACCTTTCTGCAATTTCACCACACCTGATACGTCCATGTCTGCGTGCCCGCGAAGGGGCACTCATCTTCCAATTGCGGAAGCCCTGCTGTACGTCTCCTGATGCTTCCCTGCCGCTCCCTCCCCGAGTCTCTCTGCAAACCTCGCCCGACCACTGCCCGGGGGCACAGGCCAGGTCGGCACTCCTGCGTCGGGCGGCGAAAGAAAAAGAAACGATGGGAGCTGCAGAAGCGACCAGCATGACCACAGACACGGACAGGAACAGGAGGAGCAGGACCAGAAGCAGAAACGTGACCAGGAAGGGCAGGAGCACGAGCAAAGGGGGGAGGAACAGGAGGAGGAGGAGGAGGAGGAGGAGGAGGAGAAGGAGGAGGAGGACCAGGAGGAGGAGGATGATGATGATGATGATGACGAGGAGGAGGAGGAGGAGGAGGAGATCACGAGGCAAGGCCAGAAGTAGAAGTATGAGCATACCACAAGATAGTGGCGATGGATGGGTACTCTGGGATCTCGCAAGAAGTGGATTGTCAGCTGAGAGAGTAGGATGCCCCATTCCTTCGTGTGACGAGGACCGTGCCAGGGTCTGGCGCTTCGTGGGTGTACTTCGCGTGCGCTGCCCTCAGCGGTGTGGCCGCCGAGAGGGCTCGGTGCTGCCCTTTCAACCATCACGAGATGCCCAAGCAGCAGCACTCCTGCAGGTACCGTCAGCGTCCCCGCTTGTCTGGATCGCTCCTGGGCGCTGCCTGTGCAGTTAGCTGTACAGACCTACGTTCTGACTCGACGTTCCAACTGATCTGCCCACATTGGTGCACGCGACTCACTGGCGCGCGGCATCTGCAGCCTGTCAGGACTCATGTGTCGCTGCCGATGCCAGCACGTGATTGCACCGAGTCTGCAGTTGGCACCGTAGCCTTCAACACAAGGCGCAGAATAGCCAAGGGGGATGATGATGATGAAGACGAGGATGATGATGATGAAGAGGAGGGATGAGGATGATGAAGAGGAGGGGGGAGGCGGAGGAGGAGGAGGAGGAGGACGAGGAGGAGAAGGAGAAGGAGAAGAAGAGGAGGACGAGGAGTCGCGGCAACGGCATGCTGCAACTAGACCACCGACAGAAGCGGCGTGCCGTGTGGTCTGCAGAGACGGTGGGGACCGCGCGTGCGCCAGAAGATGTGCTCGATTCGGGAAACGTGGTGGCCACGCAAGAGCGAAGGAGCGACGGAGCGGAGCGACACCAATCTTGGCACAGACAGGAAATCACCGGACACGGCTGGACGAACTGGATGCCAGCAACGGGAGGTGCAGGCGGCCCAGCAGCACGCAAGATAATCATGATCAGAAGCGCCGCGTAAGGGCCCCAAGACTGCGCAAGAGGGCCACGAGAGCCTTCCAAGACGGCCGCCACATCGCTCCCATACGTAGACCTTCCCTCCTCCTCTCGCTCCCTCCTCCTGCGCCTTTGCCCCTCCTCCTTTTCCTCCCCCTCCTCCTCCTCCTCCTCCTCCTCCTCCTCCTCGTCGCCATCCTCTACTCCCTCTTGGGCAGGTGCGCTCCGACCTCGCCACCTCCCCGTATTTCCTGCCCTGCCTGCGTGGGCGCCGAAGAAACACGACAAGCACGACAAGAAAGGTTGAGGGTTACCCATGGGAGAAGGACGATGAGCTGAAGGCCAGGCTCCAGGAGCTGGTGGGCGAGCGGTCTAATGCGCATGAGAGTCTCGTGAGCCAGAAGGCGCTACAGCAGCTGGGATTGAGCCTCCTCCTCCTCCTCCTCCTCCTCCTGCTCCTGCTCTTGCTCTTGCTCTTGCTCTTGCTCTTGCTCTTGCTCTTGCTCTTGCTCTTGCTCCTCCTCTCCTCTCCTCTCCTCTCCTCTCCTCTCCTCTCCTCTTCTCTCCTCTTCTCTTCTCTTCTCTTCACTCCTCTCCTCTTCTCTCCTCTCCTCCTCCTCCTCCTCCTCCTCCTCCTCCTCCTCCTCCTCCTCCTCTTCCTCCTCCTCCTCTCTCCTCCTTCTTCCTCCCCCCTTGCTCCTCCTCTCCTCCTTCCTTCCTCCTTCTCCTCCTTCTTTTCCTCCTCCTTTTTCTCTTTCTCCTTCTTCTCTAGTTTTGCTCCGCGGCCGCATGCGAGGGGCAGCGCGGCGTCCAAGAGCGGCCAGAGGCGCGGGCGCGCCGACAAATCTCCTCCTCCTCCTCCTCCTTCTCCTCCTCCTCCTCTTCCTCCTCCTCCCTCCGCCGCCGCCGCCGCCTCCTCCTCCTTCTCCTCCTCCTCCTCCTCCTCCTCGTCAACTCCCCGCCTGGCCCCTCCGCCCCGGCGGGCGGCGGGGTCCGTGAGGGACAGCGCCTTGCCGGCCTTGCCAAACGTCAGGTTCAGGCCGTTGGGCGGCACGAAGCCCTCCGCGGGGGCGCTCCGCTCCCGGCCTCCGACCCGCCCGCCCTCCGCACCGCACCGCATCGGCGCCAAGGCAGACCCCCAGGGCCATATACAGTCAACCCGTCTCACAAGGACGCGCGAACAGGAGGAGGAGGAGGAGGAGGAGGAGGAGGAGGAGGAGGAGGAGGAGGAGGAGGAGGAGGAGGAGGAGGAGGAGGAGGAGGAGGAGGAAAGGGAGCATGGAAGACCTGGGAAAAGCCCTGGGGTCTCAGGGCCTCTGGAGGCATGCCGACATTTTGCGAGCGGGGCGCGGCCAGCGAAAGCGGCCATGGATGGACCAGGGAGGCAAGGACGCACGGGTACCCTTGGGACGGTTGCCCATCCTTACTATGCGGGTTGACTGTAGAGGCAGTCTGCATCTCCCCCCGTGCGTCAAAGTTGAACACACACCGAGCCGTATGCGGATGACATCACATACCATGTCTTCGTGCACCCCCTGAGTCTATGCGTCGAATCGCAGCGTACCCCGCGCGCGCGGATCAACAACATGCATGTCCACCACGTCAAAGCGAGACTGGGACCGCAATGCCGTAATAAAGTCGTGTCATCGATGCACCATGGCCACGCGTGGCCGCAAAATACTCGTGACTGACAGGATCTGGGAAACCAGCTGTGAAGCAGTGTCGAGACACCCCTGCCACCTTCAGGAGTTCGTCTGTACTCTACAATTTTAGCTAAGCTGTTATGGCAAGTCCGTGCGCTGGCCCCAAGGTGCAGTATTGCTCCTCCTCATCATCCGAGCCTCGCAGTCGCTCAACATTCCCCCGCCGTTGTACTTGGGGAGAAGACTGTGGAACACGGACGGGGACAAAGGCACGTCGCCGCTGCCATACTGCAGGCCGATGAAGCCTCCGGGATGCAAGGTGGAGACAACTTGCGAGGCGAAACGAGAGAGGAGGGAGGGAGGAAGAGGGAAGGAGAGGAGAGGAAGAAGGAGAGGAGGGAGAGGGAAGAGAGACAGGCTAGGCGCCCTCGCGCCAGATCTGACCTCTTGCCCCTCCCACCCATTCCTTCCAATTGCGCTGATTTTTCTATATCCGCCGACGGGTGTCATAGCGGACCTGGAACCCCCCCACAGACCCCATCGTATAATTCGCAATTCGAAAAAAGAGGAGAAGGAGCAGGTGAGAGGAAGAATATGCTGACGGAGGCAGACGTGGAGGATCAACCGCAGGAACAGAAGCAGAAGCGGGAACAGTAGGAGGACCAGGGGAAGGCGGAGGAGGGGAAGGGATCGGGGCGACGTCGACGAGGAACGACTCGAATCCAGACTTGTGGCCCGTGCTGGGAAGGCGCCGATCCCAAAACGAGGCCACCGCTGCAGCGGAATCACCATCTTGAAACATCGAAAACGGTCCGATTGAACGAACAATTTGTTAGACTACCTTTTGACCTTTTTGTACGCCTATCACAACGTGCGGGAGAGACGGGCCTCCCGCTCGGACAGGATCTGGGGAGAGAAGAAATCCATATTAATATTGAGTATCTGTCCAATTGATGTGGAAGCGATGTAATGAGAGGGATATGTCTGGGAATAAAGGGTGGGGGAGGCCAGATGTGTGGGAGTGTGAGGCGGCTAGAGGGAGAGAGCGTGAGCGAGAGAGAGAGAGAGAGAGAGCGAGAGAGAAATCCGCCGACCCTGTCGGCGTGTGGCGCCGACCTGTCGGCGTGTGGAAGACGCATCCTGGTGTCGTCGTCTTGCGTGGATCACCGTCGTCGTCGTCGTCATCGTCGTCGCCCGAAATAAAAGAAAATGGAACACGAAACATACGTAAATCGTAGTCGTGGCGAAGCCCCTCCCTAACCTCCCCCCCACCGGGGGGGGTGCGGGGGTGGGGGGTGGGGTGGGGGGGCAGATACGCATCCCCCCCGGGTGACCCTCTCCTCCCTCTCCCCCTCCCCCTCCCCCTCCCCCTCCTCCTCCTCCTCCTCCCCTCCTCCTCCTCCTCCTCCCTCCTCCTCCTCCCCCCTCCCCCCTCCTCCTCCCCCCTCCTCCTCCTCCTCCTCCTCCTTCTCCTCCTCCTCCTCCTCCCTCCTCCTCCTCCTCCTCCTCCTCCTTCCTCCTCCGCCTCCTCCTCCGCCTCCTCCTCCGCCTCCTCCTCCGCCACGTCTTCATTTGCCTCCGACGTCTGATCACGCATCCCGTCACCCTCGAGGGCCGATGTATCCAGGGTCGGCGGCACTGGCCGTAAGGCCTTCGCAATCTACCAATGCATGCATGTATATATATATATAGATATATACACATGCACATGCACATACACACTACACACACGCATACACATATATACATATATATACATACTAAGGAATATAACTACCTATATACCATCATTCATTTATGTATGTATACATAGAGAGAGAGGGTAAACAAGGTACATGTACTTGTATATGTATTCAAGACGTGTGCACATATCTTTCTCTCTATATATATACACATAAAAATAGAGAGGAAACACAGCGGTCGGGACATATACTTTATACATATATATATATACATATACATGGGAAAAGAGGGGGTGTACAACATATACAGAGAGAAGCAAGCGAGAGGGAGGGAGGGAGGGAGGGAGGGAGGGAGGGAGAGAGAGAGAGAGAGAGAGAGAGAAAGAGAGATACAGAGAGTGCGAGAGAGGGAAAGAGACGGACTCCGTAGCCGTTTTGGCTCAGAGCCATGAGACACCCGACGGTGGCGAGTCCCTCGCGGGCGTTCCTGGAGCGCGAAGGGTCTCGCGCCTTGGGCCAGGGGGAAGTTTTGTGCTGCCTGTCGGTTGGGCTACTCAACCTATTCCCCGCGTGGGGGTCCTCAATCCGAAGGCGGCAACAATGGTGCACGGTGGCGCTGCAGCCGGCAACGGCAGCGGGAATAATAATAATAATAATACTAATAATAAGAATAAGAAGAACACTAATAATAATAATAATAATGATAATAATAATAATCATAATAATAATAATAACACTAACAATAAGAATAATAAGAAGGGAGACGGCGGCACCAGGGGGCAGGGGCCGCAGTCCCAGGGAAGCTTCGGAGCTCGGTCGGTCAAGTCTGGGGGAGAAGTGGTGCTGCAAGGCCTGCTCCCGACCTGACGCTGACGGTGAGCGGTTCGTCAACTTCCTCCAAGGCGCAGATGTTCGCTGGCGCGCCGCAGGCAGTGGGCCCCCCAGTCAGGGCATGGGAGGTGGCGGACAAGCAGCTGGTGCAGCGCGGCAAGGCCCTGGAGGCGGAGATGGCCAAGGTCAAACAAACTGCCGCTGCAAGAGTGCCGGGAGTGGGCCCAGATGCAGGCCAGTTGGGGTCGGAGCTGGTGCCCGCTCGCAAGGCAAGGCCCGCCGAGGTCGACGCGAGGCTGGCGGCCATCATGCACTTCGAGGAGAAGAGCTTCGCCAAGCTCAGGGGCGATCTGGTCGCCGAGCAAAGTGCCCTGCGCCAAGAGCTGTTCCAGGAGAAGCCCGTGGGGCACCAGCTGCGCTCCTGGTCGGACCGCGTCAAGAAGCAGGAGCGCCACCTCGGCAAGCAGATTGAGGAGCTCGGGCAAAGTCAAGGAGTAACTAGGGTTTGCACCAACAGGAGTCTGAGCTGGTGGCAGCCATCGAGGAGCGGGAGCAGGTCATCGAGCAGCTCAAGGTGGACCAGGTCGAGGCGGTCGGCAAAACACCGCACCCCCCTCTGGAGGACTCTGGTGGGCTCAACGAGGGGCCGTCGCTGGGCTGGGCGCGCTCCTTGAGAGCCTGGCACTTCCGCCTGGCTACCGCGACGCGGTGCTCAAGGCAGCGCAGGCCAAGCAGGAGGAGCTACAGCGGGCGGCAGGGGAGACAACGCCAGTTAGGACACCAGCAGCCCCAGTGGCACCAGCGAGGGCAACTTCGGCAATTAGCCAAGGAGCTCCTGACGCTGTTGGGCTGCCCGTGGGCAATGATGCGATGGATGGCGGGAAGCTCTCCACCGACCAGCAGAAGGATTTGATGCGCAAAGCGGGCCTTTTCGACGCTCGTTGGCCAGGGGCTCAAGATGGGGCTGTGCCTGGCCCTCCTGATGACGAGGTGCGGGCTGCCTTCACGCGAATCTTCGACACGGTGGATGGCGGTGCCAAGCGGCGGGCACGCCTGGCCTGAGGGCCCATTCTTGTCGCCGGCGATTGGCTGCATGGGAAGGGAGGTGCACTCCCCTGGGGCCGTCGGCACAGTGAAGGAGGCTACATACAAGGCCGAGATGAGCAGGCCAGGGTTGATTGCGGCCGAGCGTGGGCGTCACACCGCCCGTCCTGGCGTTGCTTACACCAAGGGGAGGGATGACCACCACGCTGGGATCTCAGATCAGGGATGCGAGCAGCATGCCGTGTATTCCATAGGCATCATGGCCAGGGATGTGCACTCCCCTGGGGCCGTCGGGCTGGGCATTGCTGGAAGAGGATTGAGTGCCTCGGCGAGGGGCGGCATGGCCAGGGAAGTGCATTCCCCTGGGGGCGTCGGCATAAGAGGGTGCACCAAGGGAGGAGGATTCCTCACGACGGTGAACGCCACATCATGGGGACTCCTTGGAGACTACTACATCGTCGACCAGGATGGGCGCACCACGCTGGCCATTGCGGTGCAGGAGCACCACCGTCTGGAGGACGTCATCCCCACGCAGCAGAGGGCGTCCAAAGATCAGGGATGTCATGAACTGTGGAGCCCGGCGCTTCGGACGACCACCAGCGACCATGACACCTCAGGCGGGGTGGCGGTGTTGGTGCCATCGCACGTGCAGGTCATGTTCCCGCCTAGCAGAGATAAGGCTGAGATGGTCCGAGGTCGCATGCTTGGGGTGGTAGTGGCAAGGCAGCGGCCAACCTGTCCATCATCTGGGAGCTTGCCCAGTACATCGCTTACCTAGAGAGCAACGGGTTCCGCTGGGTGGCCATGGGAGGCTGGGCCATGCCGCCCGAGACCCTAGACTTCGGTTGGCTGCGCAAGCTTAACGGGGCCCTGGCGGTGTCAGACGGACCGTCATGCCAGAAAGGGAAAGGCGCGATCATCGACTATTTTGTGGTATCGAAAGGCATGTGGGGGCTGGTCAAGCCTACGCCAGTCAGGGACTTCGAGGCGTGCACCTGGCCGTACTGGCCAGTCAGGCTCACAATGCTGAAAAGGGAACCCGTGGCCTGGCATAGAGTGCTGGACGAGCCCAAGCCGCTACCGAAGCTCGCCCCCAGCTTAGGGTGTGCGCGAGCGCCTTGGGGATGGCAGGCAGTGAGATCCAACATCAAGGGCGTGGTGTCAGACGAGGGGTTGCGCGTATTGTGGGACATGGTGCTGGAGGCCATCGAGTTCGAGATTCTGAACTGGTACGACATTGTCGGCCCAGAGAGGAAGCCACACGAAGGCAGAGGTGGAGCTGGTGAAGCAATCGGCCTCCGCTGGCGCAAGGCCTCGTGGATCCCGCCCCGCAAGCGGCACGTCAAGGGCCGAGAAGGTAAGGCTTGGGCTGCTGCGCTGGGCTGGTGCAAGTATCCGGAGAGCCGCTGGGGCAAGATGGCGGAGCTCTGTCTGGAGGTCGAGGTGCCTCCGCGCGCCAGGAAGCCAGCGGTGCAGAAGCCGGCCGACCTGCTCGTGGACCTTGGGGCGCTTCCTGGGCAGGCGGCACCTGCCGCCATGGGTCAGGGCCCGTTCCTCGTGGGGCTTCTGGCTTTTTCATCAACGTGGCTGGCGCGCCATCGCGGGTGGAAGCGGAGGGGCGGGGGGCGAATCACAAGGCAGTGGCCCAGGCGGTCTGACGACGCTGGGCTGCTGATGCCCTTGCAGGTGGAGCGGGCCCAGCACGCGCGGTCTCCAAGGTCCCCACGCTGCAAGAGCAGCTGCGCTTCCATGCCGCCGGGTACGACGCAGCGCTGCCAGACAGGGAGCTGCAGCCGTGGGTCGACGTCTGGCGGTACCATGGGCCAGCTCCGACGCCCCTCCCCCCAGGCGCAGGAACCTGGACGCGGAAGACAGACCCAAGCTGAATCCCCCGAGACACGCTGTGACCTCGAAAGATCTTACTCGCTGCGCGAACTTGTGGAGCAAGGTTGGCCAGGCTTTCCCGTGAATGCTGGCACGACAGCTCGCGAGTGCGCTAGCCCTTGTACCTTCCAGCCCCATTGCGAGGAGGATGGGGAGGTCGAGTGGGAGCAAAAACAAACATAGAAGGAGAAGTAGACGGAGAAGAAGAAAAAGGAGGAGGAGGAGGATGAGAAGGGGAGAAACAGGAATTTGGTTATGATGAGTAACGCTCTGAAGAGGAGAAAAGAGTCGGAGCGCTGCTGCAACATCTGCCGTGGTCGCCTTCTAGACGGGCGGTCAAAGGCTTGCCGAGATGCGTTGACCATCTGATGAGCTCGTAGGAGAAGGAGATAAAAGAGACGGAGGGGGGTGATGACGAAAAAGGATGATGAGGACGCCGCGCAAGCACCTCCGCCACCCCCGCCGCCGACCATAGACTTCGTACACTGGATGGTGCCACCGCTCACGTCGAGGACGACCGTGGCTTCCATAGACACGAAGTTGGAGGCCTTGGTTCCCTCCTCCTCCTCCTCCTCCTGCTTCCCCTGGCTGGTCGTGACAAAGTCGGGCTGGGCCCCTCTCACACGCGATGCTGATAGCGCTAGGCTTCGCGAAGATCGGTCCCGCCACGCGAAGATCGGTCCCGCCACGTGGCCGCGGAGCCTGCACAGCGACCCCTGGCGTCTCGAAGCTGGAACCGCTGGAACTACTTGCCGCGAACAACAACGCCCTTTTCGTCATCCGTGCAACGAAGTGTGCACATACGGGGCGGGACTGAACCGATTCAGCGGTGGATCGGAAGGCTTCGAACAACACTGAGTGCGCGGCAAATGTGTCCGAAGTGGAGATGGAAAGGAATAAGGACAAAGAAAGAGAAACATCGGGAGGAAGAGGAGTGAGGCGGGTGGGCACGATCCTGCCAGCCTTCGTGAGACCAGCAATCTCTCCTCGGGCGGAAAACCAAATTTACCTCCTCAAGCGGGGGTGGCCCGAGAATGGGTCCTCCTCCTTTTGCTCTGTCTCGTCGTCCTCCGAAAGAGAAGACGGAGAGGGAGAAGGGGAGGGAGGAGGAAGAGGAGAGGAGGAGGATGAGGGAGGAACAGGAGACGCCAGAGGAAATGGAGGTAGCAAAAGCAACTGCGGCGACAGTGACGGAGGAGGAAGCAGTGAGGACCGCGGAAATAGCCATATATCCGACGGCACATTGTTTCGAGACGTGGGGGCCCGAAACGTTGGACCCTTTTCCCATAGGGCCGACTCTTCCTCGGGACCCCCAAACCCACGTGGTGACGAACGAATGAACAAACCACCACATCGGACAGCCGTCCGGGCCTGCTGAGACCAGGTGGGTGAGGCCATGACCTCCTGTAGACATGCAGACAAGCATAGGAACTGCGAGACATACCAAAAATATGAATCGGCGCCACACACAACAAATAATGACGAAGGAGGAGAGGAGGAGGAAATCCTGGTTGTGAGATCGCGTGGTGACGGACCGCGCGGTGACCACGGAATCCCCAACGACCTCACCGCGCGGTCCGTCACCAAACGGCATTGCGACTCTGGAAGCCCCACTTGTCCAAGACACGCACTCGGGGGACGACCCGAGCGCAAAAACAGCGCGGCGACCCCGAATCCCCGAGGACTCACCGCGCGGTGTGGTCACCACGCCGTTTTTGGGGTCCCCGATTTTCATCGGCAGTCGCTTCTTGACCGCCCCAGGGCCCGAAACTGACCCCCAGCGAGGCCCAAGCTGACGAGAAGCTGGCCGCCCCGGCTTTGTCGAGCCGCCGGACGTGTGGACGCAATGACAGAAACGCGGCGCGTTCGGTGTGTCGTCCACACTTAGGTCGGGCATGTCCCCATACAGGCGGATTTTGGAACAAAACTTTAGAAGTACTCAAACAATACCTCCATCACTCCGACTGAAGGACCCCGCACGATAATCTGTTTAGCTTGCCCTGCACCTTTTCCTCCTCGCCCTGGCAGACACCCTCCTCTCGCTCTCTGCTGTGCTGTTTCCTCCTCCTATTTATCCGTCGCCTCCTTCTATTTCTCCTCCTGCTGCTCCTCTTTCTCCGCCGCCCATCATCATCGCCCTCTCCCGACCCTTTCCCCGTCATCGTCCTTCCCCTGCTTCTTCTCCACGTGCCCCCCCTTCCCCACCTGGTCGGGGCAAGCAAATCGATTTCCCTCGGCGCCGTCGCCGCCTCGGCCAGCGCGCGCGCGTTCGCCGACGGCTGGTTCGCGAAGCCTTCGGGGCAGCTCCGCGGGCCATGCCTTCGGGGCAGCCCCGCGGGCCAGACCGTTGGGGCAACCCCGCGGCCTCTTGCCGCGCGCCGCGGCGCTCAGGCGGGAGGCAGCGCGAAGCCAAGCTCCGCGGCAAGCTGCTCGGCCTCATGCCTGAGGATTTTCGCTTTCTCCTCGAACTTCTTGAGCGCCTCCCGCAAGGGCGCCGGCGGCCCGCGCTTCAGGAACTCGCGCGAGGGCGGCCGCGGGATCAGCGTGTTCCGCGTGCTCGTGGCGCGGGGGGGCATGACGTAGAGGTGCAGCCGCCGCTGCTCGTCCGACATGCCCGTGCGACCAGCGTCCTCGCTCCTCGCGCAGTCGATGGTGACGCCCTCGCGTAGCGTCTGGCTTCGCGACAGCGTGGAGGTCAGGTAGGGCGCGCGCGTCAGAATGAACCCCGAGCGGCGCGCAGCGTGCGCCCGCGAGCTCTGCCACCTGAGCTCCTGCTCGCTTGGCCTGAACATGAGCGAGCTCCTGGCCCGCGCCTCGGCCTCGCCGCGTTCGACGGCGCGTTCGGCGCCCTGCAGCAGCAGCTCGGCGACCTCTTTGTAGATCGGGAACTCCTTGAAGTCGTTGACCTGCAGCCAGATGCACTGCGGTAGGTAGCGGGGGCGAAAAAGCTGGCCCGGCGCGCGCTCCTCGTACTCTCGCTCGTCGTGCGGATGAAACTCGAAGGGCGCAATGGTGGCCCGTTGCTCCTGCACGAGCCCCAACTTCTTCTTCAACTCCTCCTGCGCGGCCGTGAACCGAACCTCCATGCCGACGCGTGCCGGTAAGACGCCATGGATGTCACCCGTTTCGTGCATGTTCGGGGCGTTCAGGAGGCGTCGGCCCGCGTCTGGATCGCCTTGAATCGCACCGCACTCGTCTACGGCCTGCAGGAAAACGAAGGGGACGCCGAGGCGCTGTGCGTCGCGACGGGCGCGCGTGTTGATCCACCTCGCGAGCGTCTCCCAGTAGATGCCCATGCCGTAGCCGAGCCGAAATTTGTCGTGCTGGTGCCGAGGGTCCAGGACGCCGCGGTTGTCCGAGGCCAACGTGTTCTCCCAGGCGGACCAGACCTCTGGTGGGAAGTGGGGAATGGCGGGGGGGAGGGAGGAGAGCGAAAGGACCTCCGTTGATCCACCTCCTCCTCTTTACCCTCCTCCTCATCCGAAGGCTTGGGGGCTGTACCCGCTCGGATTACCAACGTGATCTGCGAGCCCCATAGGGAAGGGGCTGCCGCCTGAGACTTCCCCACAATTCACTCACAGACGAGGCTCCCGCTTGATATTTCCTCCCAATTCAAGCCTGAGAAGCCCAAAAATGACAGCAATTACAACAATTTGATGACCCGCATGGATTACCAACGCGAAATGCGGGACCCGTAGGGAGGGGGCTCCAGCCTGAGACTTCCTCACAATTCAATTACAAACGAGGCTTCCGCCTGATACTTCCTCCACATTCAGGCCCGATGAGCCCAAACATGACGACAATTACAAGACTTGGATGACCCGCATCGGATTACCAGCATGATCCGCGGGGCCCATAGGTACGGGGCTCCCGCCTGAGACTTCCTTGCAATTCACTCACAGACGAAGCTCCCGCCTGATACTTCCTCCATTTTCAAGCCAGAGGAGCCCCAAAATAATTACACTTACAAACATTTGATGACCCACATCGGATTGCAAACGTGATCTGCGGGGCCCATATGGAGGGAACTCCCGCCTGAGATTTCCTCGCGATTCACTCACATACAAAGCTCCCATTTCTTCCATATTCAAGCCTGAGGAGCCCAAAAGTGACGACGGTTACAAACATTGGATGACCCGCATCGGGTTACCAATCTGACCCGCGGGGCCCATAAGGACGGGGCTCCCGCTTGAGATTTCCATGAGCCCGCTCACAGACGAGTCTCCCGCCTGATACTTCCTCCATATCCAGGCCCGAGGAGTCCAAAAGTGACGACAATTAGAAGAATTGGATGGCCCGCATCGGATTGCCAACATGATCCGCGGGGCCCATCGGGAGGGGGCTCCCGCGTGAGACTTCCTCGCAATTCACTCATAGACGAAGCTCCCATCTGATACTTCTTCCATATCCAAGCCAGAGGAGCCCAAAAGTGACGACAATTACAATAATCCGATGACCCGCATCAGATTACCAACATGATCCGCGGGGCCCATAGGGACGGGACTGCTGCCCGAGACTTCCTCGCAGTTCACTCACAGACGAAGCTCCCGCCTGATACTTCCTCCATATTCAGGGCCTGAGGAGCCCAAAAGAGACGACAGTTAGTAAATGAATGAGTGAGTGAAGATGATATGATGATGACGATGAGAAGTGAGTGTGTATGTGTGTGTGAATGTGTGATTGATGAAGAGGATGATGCTGTTGATGAGTGAGTGAAGGAGTGAGTGAGGGTGAGTGATGAGGAGGGGGAGAGGGGGGGGGGTGAGGACTGCGCGGGGTCTCCAGAGAAAACAAAAAAACCACTTAGGATGTGTGGAGCAATTGTGAGAAATAGTCGAAGTGCCGTCCCCAGACTATTTTTTGTTGTTGTTGTTGTCGTCTATTTTTGAATCTATGTCCTGCAGGGGAACATGGCCGTCTTAAGTATACACGCCAGAGTGGCCCTAGGCAAACGTGATCTTTGATGCGCAGCTCTCCGGGGCCGCGGGGAAGAGAAACCCAAGCGCGCAGGCCAGTGCTGCGGGGACCCCTGCGAACCAGCGCCACGGGTCCTTCTAGCGAAAGCCCACTCTGGAGCGTAGCCTTAGGTCGGGCGTGTCCCCCTTACAGGCGGATTCTGGACGAAAAAATAGAAATAGTTAGGATATACCCCCCAAATGCACAAACATAGTAAATCATAATCCCTTTTTTTATTTAATTTTTCCTATTCTTGAATATTCCCCTGTAGAGGGACAGGCCCGACTTCAGCGTAGCCGAGGTCTGCAAGGCCCGGTTCCATCCTGCCCCCCCCCCAAGCTGGTCTGGCCGCCAACTGCGCGCTTAGGCCCCCGCGTAGAGCAGGATCTGCCCGCCCGCCCCCGCCCCCGACACCTTCTCCTGCCCGCGGTACGGCTTCACCTGCGGGGCGCCGACTGGGAACCGATCGTGGCTCCGGCCCAATCCTTGTGTCGACCCGGAAAAAAGTCGCGCCGGACTCTCTTGGTGGCCTTCGGAGTCTGGAGGCCGATGCCCTGGCCCTGCCGGGGCCGCGAGGAGCGACTTAGGATGAGAAGCCTGCCCCTCGGGAAGGGGTCGAGAGTTCCAGCGGCCAGCGGCTCGAAAAAGTCAGTTGTCGGAGGCCTGGGGGTCCTGGGATGGGCCAGCGCCGACACATCTCCCAGAACACTCTGCGGTGAATCGGCGCTCGCACCGTCGCGGCCGCTCGATACTGGAGCTCTACACCCTGTCGCCAACACCCATGGTGAGAACTCACATATCGCCATACGCCTGGCCAGGCCGGGGCAAAACTACAGCAGAGGCAACGTCTACCATCATTTTTCACTGCGTCCCCAGACGAACACGAATTATCCGCACATCGCCGGCGGACGAGCGAACTTGGAACTGGGATTTGGAAGCGAACAAATCCTCGCGTGCCCTCGTTGGCCTTGTCGGGCGAACCACCAGACGTGACCAGAGTCTTTGGAAAATGCTGGCGACAACAGCCGACGTGGAAATCAGAGTCATGGGGCAGAGCGCCATGGTTGGTCATCTCTACATGGAAGGGGGGGGCATGCGCCACCTTGCCAGCGGTACCTGGCGCCAACACTTGCACGTCGTCGCTCATGGTAAAGTTGCGCGCAGACCTCAATTTCCGAACATTTGACCGGTCGGAAAGACACACAATTCAAAATGCATAGAGCACATACACATGTTGAGTATTCGCCGTGCTTTATCGTGAGGACGTTGAACATTGCTGGTGGGCGTGGCGCTGCTAGACGCATACATTCGTCAACCCAGCGGGCCAACGGCGTGCTAGACTCTCCGGCAAGACGTTCAGGGTATTTCTATGTCACCAAGTTCGCGCGCTCGTGGCGGCCCATCGGGGTCCCCTGACGACAAGTACCCTGGGCAAGTCGGATCAGAGACAGATACCCCCAAGACAGATTCCAAATTGCCCCGACGTGGCCAAGGATGGTCATATACACCCTCCACTAAAACCCTAATGAGTCCAAATCCTTAAAACTCTTTACTCGTTGAAATGATTTTGGCTTTCTCGCGTTGCCGCATCAGGCTGAATTATGACGCCTCAACATGGCGCCAAGATCGCTCGAGATGGCTCCAAGTGGGGCCAGGAAAGGCTCCTCCAAGAGGGTTCCGATGACCTCCAGGATCGCCCCAGTAGAAGCTCAATAGGCCTCCAAGAGAGCGCCACTGTGGCCCAGGAGCGGTCATCAAGGGGTGGCAGGCCACAAGATGTCTCCCACGCCAGTCTGCCCCCAGGAGCCCCACTCTGTATTCAGAGTGCCCAGGGGAGCCCTAATAGGGTCCAAAGCAGCCTCCGACTGGCCCTCAGGAGGCGCAGCCCCTCCATAAGCATCTGTTTCTTTCACAGTTTTTTGGTTTCTCGCGCTGTCGCTTCCCATGTGGTTCTGTGGCCTGAATATGGCACGTGCATCCAAGAGGGCTCTCAAGACTCCTGGTAGCGCCCCAGTAGAATAAAAGGGGCCCAGGGACACACGCACAAATGGACACATATCCCAGGATTCCCAAGCTTTTCTTTCAATATTTTCAAGGTTTTCGTCTTCCCCCCACTTCCTATAGTTTCCCGTATTTTCCCGGGAGTCGACGATTCACCGTGTCTATGTTTTTTTTTCCTCCCCTCGTGGCAGGGGCGCAGGGCAGCTCCAAGAGGGCCACAGGGCGGCCCAGGAGCGGACCAGGAAGGGACGGGAGGCCCCCGGGACCACCCCGAAGCAGCTCCAAGATGCCCCCCCAAACAGGGCCCCCTGGCGCCCCAGGAGAGCCCCGAGGCGGCCAGATAGGGTCCATGCGGGCCCCAAGACTGCACACCGCCACCACGTCGATTCCCCCCCCCCCTCCTCCACCCTCAGCTTCGTCTCCTCTTCCCTGGGAGAGGGAGGGGGCGAGGTAGGTGGTGGTGGTGGTGTATACATTGGGGCCCCGCAGTCCAAGGCACCCCCCCCAAGAGGCCTTCGGGGGCCAAGGCCACGACGCCAACGTGCGGTGCTCCGATGGCTGTCTTTCCCGCCTTCCCGCCAACTCGGGAGTCGGAGGCCTCGATGCCCGAGGTGTGTCCAAGTGGGCCCTGGAGATGGGCTCCGAGAGGGCCCAGGAGGCCCGCAGGGGCGGCCTCGCAGAGACCCAAGACAGCTCCAGGAGTGCCCGTGGCGACCCCAAGAGCGGGCATCGAGGGGTGGCAGGCCGTGATATTGTGCCGACATGCCCTCCAAGACAGCCCCCCCAAAGCTCTAGTATTGCACCCAGGTGGCCGCAGATTGTCAGAAACAGCCCCCGAGAGGCATCCAAACGACCCAACTCCTTCAAGCTTCATTGGCTTTCTCACCTGTCCGCTTTCTATGAACTTCAGAACGTCCCAGGGTGGTCCTAATGGGGCTCCAAAGCGGGGCAATACTGCCACCCATCGCTTTGCCACGCGTTCCTGATGGTGACTTCGGATGCGCGGTATCATCGAAGCCCGTATCCCATATTGTTGAAGTGGCCCAGCTTGCCAGCAATGAACTGCAAGGAGATTCCACCTGAAGACTTTGAACCGCAAAACACCTTTGCAAATCCGACCGGCTGCGAAGTTCTGACAAGAAGTTCGGGAAGCGTCTGTGTGATTGGCTCTTGCAGGCAGTCGCCATCGACACCTGATGTGCTGATGTAGCGTGAAAGATCGTCACCATGGGGCATTGGGCTACGATTCCACGTGCACTTCTATGGCGCCTCTTGGTCTTCATCCCCTCGCCCATGGCACCTCCCAACATGACCAACTGCCAGCAGTGAAAAAGCATGGGCTGGCGGAGTGGGCGGAGCCACCACATGATGAGGAGGAGCGGACAGCAGAATCGTGCACGCGCAACGCGCTCCCTGGGTTGACGGTGATCCCACAAGCTACCCTCCCTCGTGGAGCCTTCGCCGACGGGGACGTCCGCCGCTGGCACACGCGACCATGACGGGCAAAAATTCTTTTGCAGGTCCTCGCCCCACGTACTAACTTCCTTCGTCGCGGGCAACGCGGCCCGCTGCCTCGAAGGCAGCTAACTTCTCCTCCGATGGCAGCCCGTCCTCAAGGAAACCGGCCAACGAGCAACGAGCGCGAGCCCTCGTATGGGCCCTCGTGGCCCTCTGGACTGTTGGTGATCGCAGTGGCCCGCGGCCCATCGTGGCTCCCGCTTGCGGGGCTCGCTGGGCCTGCGGCCCCCTCGCGGCCCGTGGGCCTCTCGCAGGGCACTCGGGCTTTGCCCTCGGGATGCTGCTCCTCGGCCGCGCGTGCCCCGTGGCCCGTTACACCTCGACGCTCCGCCGTGCTGCGTCGTCGGCGCCAACTTGTGCCTGCTATACGCCAGGACGAACAGATAGCACGCACCGATCGAACGGACAGATAGCACCGACGAGATCCCAACTCACCGCGCCTGCACAACCCAGACAGCACACACCTGCGGGACTCATGATGACCAGGTAGGTAGCGCATCTCACAGGACACTTCTGCGAGTGCTGCCTGTTCGTCCCGGCGTATACTCGTTCGTACACGTGTGCCTGCTGTGATGGCAGGTGTGCCAGGGCGTGCTTGCCCACGGCGTGCTGGGCGTTCGGTGCTGCCTCGCGGGCGGGCGCCCTGGCCGAGTCAAGGCCTCTTTGTCGGAGCAGCCCCGCACATCCAAGAGCGTTCACCGCAGTAGAGCTCTGGGCAGCACGAGATTGACATGACTGAGCTTAGCCCATTGGAGCGATGAGCGATCCCAAGGATAGCATCGCCACGCTGCAAAGCAGACTGGGCGCAACCCAATCGAAACAAGACAGGTCGAGCGGGCATAGCAAATCACAACACATTGGGAACCAAGGGTATGCCATGAACGGACAAATCCTGCTTGCCTGCTGCTCCCTGGGACTCGCACGCATTATATCACATGTGCTTGGGCAACTAATGCTCCACCACCTGTGGAACGACTGGAGCACAACCTCGACACCACTGGAAACACCATGACACATGCAATGCCAACTTATATGACAGAGCTGGCTGTACGGGCGATTACAGGCACATCCGCATCGACACACGGGGTATCAAAAACTACAAGCCATCCCCGTACAAGCTCCCACAGCACATGCACACACGCGCTGACACTCACACTTGCAATTGCGATTGTCTATCATTACAGCTTGCACTTGCAATTGCACGCGCACACACACACACACACCGGCGCACATGATTATGCATGCGCGCACACAGGGACACGGACGCTGATCGCATACGCGCGTGCACAAGCCATGTGCCTAAATACTGTGCCTTCCTACATGATTGCAAGCACACAAGAATGCAACCACGCCATCACTGGCAACACATACACGCACATCCGCGTATCAATTCGCTGGAACATCCATGATAACGTGACATGGTGCACGGACGGATGCCTGCTATGGTGTACGCGCACACGCACACGTACAATCATCCGTGTACGGCGTGGGCGCAACTGCACGCGTGTAGATGCCGAAATGCGACGTACCCCTATGCAGCAAACGTGTCGAGTGTCCTGCGACCTGTTAAGGAAAAAGAGGCACGTCGTCGGTTGTTCGTTACCTTGTTAAACACACGATGCCGTGCCATACTATGCGAAATAACTACGTAGCACCCCGCAGTTGCAGGTAAGAGTGAGGGGGCGGCGAGGACGTCGTCAGTCTGCGAGGCTCTGGAGAAGCCCGCCGCAGGCGCCTAACTTTTACAAATTGTGCAGTGAGCGCGCCGCAGGCGCCGACTTCTTCGTTAAAACAATGTGGGTGGATCGCGGGGTGGGTCGCGGGTGGGTCGCGGGTGGGTCGCGGATGGGCCGCGGGCCGGGTCGCGGATGGGTGCGGGTGGGTCGCGGGTGGGTCGCGGGTGGGTAGCGGGGGGTCGCGGGCTGGGTCGCGGGGTGGGTCGCGGGTGGGTCGCGGGGTGGGTCGCGGGGTGGGTCGCGCGTGGGTCACGGGCGGGTCACGGGGTGGGTCGCGGGGTGGGTCGCGGGGTGGGTCGCGGGGTGGGTCGCGGGGTGGGTCGCGGGGTGGGTCGCGGGGTGGGTCGCGGGGTGGGTCGCGGGGTGGGTCGCGGGCGGGTCGGGGGGAAGACGACGACAACAACAACAACAAGCAGAATCCTCCCCGCGGATCCCCACGTCAGCCACGCACCCGGGAACAAAGAATGAGCGTGCGGCCCCCTCACTCGGACATCGTGCGTTCCCGTGCCGCGTGAATGCATCGTGCCGTGCCGTCGTGCCCTGCCGTGCTGGGTCGTGGCTCGTGGTCTCGTCGGGTGAGTGCCGTGCCTTGCCGAACCATGCTTTCAGTGCCACCGTGCCGTGCTGTGCCATGCCATGCCTCGCGATGCGGCCGGGCACGTGCCATGCCGTGCAACGCCGTCTGCGCCGTGTCATCCCTCGTAGTTTCGTCGGGAGTACGCCGTCGTGCTATGCCAAACAATGCTGTGCCGCCTCTTGTCTTGCGATTTCTTCGGGCGCGTGCTGTGCCGCGTCATGCAATGCCACGGTGCTGTGTCATGCCGTGGCGCACCGTCATCCCCTGCGTGTCGTGGAAGGGAGTCAGGTGCTCCTTGGGTCCTTGGGGGTGAAATTTGATGGGTGTCCATAATTCATGTCTCTTGGCGGGATGAATTCTCAGCCGCGCGCTCCGCCAGTCATGCCCTTTCGCAGCAGGAGCTGAAAAAGCAACGACAGGAGCGTAGAAATGCCAACAGACACTGTGGAACGTCTGCCAAACACAAGTACGCTGCCACACGACCACCAACTTGCACCTTCAATGCTGATGACGCGGACTCCTTGTCCACTGCTCTCAAATCAGCATTTCCGACGTAATGACAAACCAGCACGGCTGGAGCGATCTGTCCCACCACAAGGCTGCTGAGGTGGAAATCACGTTCATACTGAGGAGCTCACTCTTCGATCCTAGCAACAATGTGCGAACGCTGTCTCGGATGCTCAGGCGGCCCTCACCCAGACGGCGCCCATGTGCCAGGTGGGGTCGCAGGCTGTGGTGTACGAAGCAGGTGAGGCCAGCCATAGTTGGCCTGCCTGATCGCAGAATTCTGGAACGCCTGCTCCTCTTTCAGCTCGGCTTCCAACTTGCAGCGTCTGATTCCATCGTTCAAGAACTCCTCCAAGGAACTGATCACACGATACTGCTTCAGCGTCTGTCCGAGCTGGAGCTCAGCTGGCTGAAGCTGGACCAAGGTACTGTCACAACAACTGTGCGCCTCCCCCGCCGCCCGCTCTGAGAAGAAGACAGCCCCTGCCTGCGGTGCCGGTCGCTTTCTTGCCCGGCCCAGTCTACACGTCTTTCTGCCCGCTCGCTGCTGGCTTTGGCCTGGGGGCCAGCCTGGGCACAAGCTTTTTGCGTCGGCGGCGAGGCAGGGGAAGGCTGCGCTAGAAGAAAGGCCTACTCCAAATCCCTTATTAATCGCCCCCCCCCTAAAAACCGGACCCCCCTGCAAATACGACCTGATATTCTGCACCCCCCTCTTCGACGGGGCGCCTTCATAAACCGGACCCCCTAAGCTCCAATCCAGAAAGCGCCCTAATAAACCAGACCCCCCGAGCTACAAAAAAGGCGTTCTAAAAAACCGGACCCAGGGGACGATTAATAAGGGATTTGGAATAAACGGGGATGCCGTAATGGCGAATTTTGCCATCATGCGCTGGCCTGGGCACACGCCTGCGGCCCGTCGTGGAGTGGCCTGCCTGGCCAATGGCCGGCTGGCCTCCCTGTGCGGCCCCATGCTCGGGCCCGGTGCGCGGTGCCCCCCCCCCCCGCGGAGCTGCCTGCCTGGCCCACCGGCCTGCCTGGCCTCCCCGAGCAGTTTGCCCCTCGGCCTCGGTGCGCCGCCTGGTGGTGATGTCCTCCCCCGCTCCCGCCGTTCTGCGTTGCTCCTCTGCTCCCCCCTCCTGTTCGTTTCTCGGGCTGTCGCCCGGGTCTCGTCCTCTCTCCTCGGGTCGTCGGTCGCCCTCCCGCCGCTTGCCCTCCCCCCCTCTCCCGGTTTCGGGCTTGTCCTGCTCCCTGGGTGTCGGTTCCTCTCGTTGCCTCCTGCTGCTGTTGCTGCTCTTCCGGGTCGTCCACCTGGCTGGCCACGCTTCGGCCCTTTGCCCTCACGGTCGGGCACGCCTCACCGCAGCAGTCGACCCTTGCCCCTGTGTCGCTCGCCTCGCACTCTTAAGTGAGTCGAGGTCGGCGGCGTTGCGGGGCCGCTCCTGCACCTGCAAGTCGCCATTTTCCTCGTGCATTGGTTCCGGCCCTTGTCTTTCCTGCACGCGTCAGCCACGTCCTGATCGTCCACCAGCAGACGCTCGGTGGTAATTGATCTAGGCGTGCCCCGCCCTAGAACTCGCTGCGTTGGATCAACCGGCGGGAAACCTAAATGTGTGTGCGTGAGTGTGAGTGCGTGGTCGATTGTACGGTGGGTGGCCAGGCTGGCGGATTGATTCAGTGCATCCCCAGCGCTAGATCCTCTTCCTATGCAGGGTGATGGTCTTCAACGTGCAAGGAGATGCTTAAAGGTTCGTCTCTTCTCGTGCGGACCTGGCCTGGCTCCTAAATGGATGCAACCTGCGAGCTGGACGGTGATAGCCAATGAAACTACTAGAAGACCGAACTTCACACTCCACATAAAAAGTGGAGTCCTTGTCGAGCCCTGATAACCGGATTCCAACTAACTGCAGAATGTAAGACATCCAAGGGCACTATCAGAGTCTAACCTTCATCCGACTGCAGCGAAGGCCTAGTTCCGAGTGCAGTTCAAAACCGATCTTCAAGCTAAGCTCGATTGCTACAACCTGGTCAGCTACAACCTACGACGCCCCTACCACCAATCAAAGCTTCTGGAAAGCAAACTGACGCACTGATTGCAACCGTTGGCTAAACGCCCGACCCAAGGCACTGCACATGCCTTAAGCGATCCCGATCGATTGATGCACGCCGAACTGGGGCGCAAACAACCAGATCAGGCCGCCGCCAGAAGAGGGAGCCACCATGTCCTGCAAGTGGCCACGCTGAAGGGAGGTTCTCGCCTTTTCCTCTTCCTCCTCCTCCTCCTCCTCCTCCTCCTCCTCTTCCTCCTCCTCCTCATCATGCCTCCGCTCTCCTGCCGCCAACCTTCGTCTTCTTCATGATACCGATCACCTCCTGCCGACTTCTTCCCTCGTCTTGGTCATTCTGCCTATCCGCTCCTTAAGTGCATGCGCGTACACTGCCTAAACACGCTTACACGCGAACATGCAACTTCCGAAACATGACCCAGATACCCAGAGTCACACGCATGCACACGTAATCCCACATGTTTCATACGGTCCAGCGCGTTTCACAACAGTGCGTACTTCGTCGGTGCCTACAAATGTCGCTGCCCCTGCCCCTGCCGATAATCTGACTTAGTGTACAACGTTAGATCCAGTGAATTACAGCGCGCTGGCGTTACGCACCGAAGCGAAGCCAATTCCATGCTGCATGCTATCGCATGATTATATTCGCTGCGATGTTGCGAGCGACAGTCACCACGCCGCGGCGAATAAGATCATACAATCTGCAAGAAAAGCGGATCTTGCGGTGCATATTGAACATCCCAACACACTGCGATTCGCTGCACCTGATACACCACATTATGCCACGTAACGCTAGACTGCAATCCATCAGCGCAATGCACAGGTACGTAACGACCAGCCGCGCTGATTCTTCTGCGCTGCACTACTAATCACCACTTGCCGCTACATTGCAGGATGCAATGCTGCGTCGTGCCATGCAACAGAAAAGGCGGACATCCTTTTAGCATAACTGTGAACAATGTCGACGTGCATGACGCTCCGCATGCCAATTACAACAAACAACATTGATGGCTCCGCATACCGCGAATGTTTCACAGTGGATCGCAACACCCAGTTGCCCAAACCAGTCCATTGAATGCGTGCGCGCGCTTTGGAATAGATGGGGCGGGAGGCACGAGTGACGAAACAACAGCCCCAAGCAGTCCACCAACTCATTACACATTGGACTACAGCACATAACGCAAGGTTACATTGCATGACATCGCACGGCGATCACCCAAGAAAACATCGCATCGCAGTGCTGATTACTTTTGCCCTGCACGGAGCAAAACCAACACTCAATGGGCGACCTCCAATGCGCGCTTAGGCCACTCTGCGAAGTGTAAGGGCTGTGAATCTGATCTTCATTCTGCTGATAGCTGTGTTGATTGTGTGCAGCATAAACGCACGACTTTCATTCTCGCCGCTTCAGATCTACCCACCACGCCAAGACCTGCTACAAGTTTCCCTGCCACGGCAACCAAAAACGAAGCCATGGGCCACGGCACTGGCCAAAGGCTATGCCACGAGCCGCAGGCCGCGGGCTACAGCGCGGCGCCTCCAGGCTGTGAGCCCACAGGCCGCCAGTCGACTCTTCCGGCCCGCTGGGTCACGAATGATCGAGCGAATCCTGGGCCACATGCCAGGGCACGGGCTGCTGGCACGGGCTACGGGCCAGAAAGGGCGCGAGCCACCGCCTCGAACCGTGCGGCGAGGAGCCACGCCAGGCCGCCACACGCTGCAGCCACGGGCCGCGAAGCACCATCTCGCACCTTGGGCACCGCGCCACATGCAACCGAGGGGCGGTCGAGCGCCAAGGCCAGAGGCGAGGGAGTCACGGGCTCGAGCTCAGGGCCCGACCCACAAGCCACACGGTCGAGCACCAAAGCCTAGGCGATGCACCGAGGAGCCACCAGCGCATCGAGTGGACGCCAGGCCCAGGGCAACGCGGACACAAGCGATCGAGTTCAACCTCGAACCATGGGCAGGTCACGAGTGGCCACGTGCACGGCCACGGACAAAGTGGCTACGAGCCATCGAGTAGGCTATGGGCAACCCATAGACAACCCATGGGTGGTCAAGAGACACGGCCACGGACAAAACAACCACGGGCCATCGAATGGGTACTTGTCCCGACTGGCACCTCACCCTGCACCAGTTGAGAAACCCGTCTGAACGCCCCTGGGCATCTTATGCCTGGTGACACAGCGGGCCCGATGACGAACGCAGAGTGCGTCCCAGACGCATCTTCGGGTGCCGCGCCGCTGCGCGCCCTCGTAAGCTCTGCTGCACGCAGTAGTGACCCTGGGAAAGAGTGACTTCTGGTGCGCGGCCCCAGGGGGGGCCTTTTGGGGACACCGCCAGTCGCGCCGCAGGCCGCTGCTATCGCATCGCATGCAGCGGTCGGGGGGCCCCACTGGGCCCGCGCAGAAAAAAAGGTCACTCAGTCATTCTCACGTGTGGCCGGTCAGCTCCCTTGTCCGTGGATCTTGCCTGTGCAAGCGCGATACCTCCTGGGTCACCTACCTTTTGAAATACCATGCGGGACCTGCTCTAGAAGAAGACCGTACCGTAGACAGATCTACGTACCCATTCTCCGACCTTGCACCGCGCCGAACGCAACGGTCACGTTGCCCATAGACGTATTCACCTCGAAAGTGTCTATGGACGTCACGGCACCCACTGTGTCCATATACGCTTTTGGCTAGGACGTGAGAGCGGCATTTGGCATCGGCCCCAGATGTTGGTCTTCTAGATGCAGGTCGGCTTGACCCTCCAGCCTGCCTTCGCGCATTGTGCCCTGCGGCGCACGGCTCTCTCCGCGCCCTCACGCCGCCACCCTGGAGAAGGGGCACCTCTGCGGCCCAGGGCCGCGACGCGCAGAGCGCCATCACCTTCGCGCCCCGGCTGGTGACCCAAGACTCGGGGGGGCGAAGCAGTATCAATGTCACGCCGCCGCGGGGGCCCCCAGGGCCCCATCGGCGTCGTACTGTCGATGTTCGTTGCCTTTTTCGGACGAAGAACGAAGGAGTAACACGCCGATGGGGCCCTCGGGGCCCCCGCGGCGGCGTGACATCGATACTCTTTCGCCCCCCCGGGAGACGATTCCTGCGCGGCGCTCAGCGCCTCCTCCACGCCAGGGCCAGGGGCGGCCCGTGCGCGTGGCTCGGCTTCCCACCGGCTCCCTCGACGGGCCCTCCTTGCCGTCCCTGCCCTTCGCCTCGCCGCCACCGCGCACGCCCCGCGCCGGCTGGCGCGGGCGCCCGCGCCTGTACCTGGCTCTTGCGTCGGTGGTCCTGCGCTCCTCTCGCCTTCATCACGCCCGGGAGCTGTGTGACGAAGCCCGGAAACCTTGACGAAGTCACCGTTGCCCCCCCGGGTGTGTGTGGGCCCTCTGCATTTCTCTGTGAGCTTCAGCTTTGGTCAGCCCGACTTGTCTGGCTGATGCTCTGGGAGGGGCCTGTGCTCAGGGGAGGCTGCAGCACCGCTCAACGATGTGCTGCCAACCAAACCTGCTGGGTGGGCCCTCTCCATTTCTCTGTGCACTTCAGCTTTGGCTCCGGCTTCAGCTACCGATGCACCGTGAAGCGCCTTCGGGCCAGCTCACCCAAGTTGGACTTTCCGCTCGCACGGGTGCTCTCCCCCCCTGGGGGCTCGAGTTGGTACCTCCGTCGGCCTCCGCTGAGCTTTGGCCGGCCTCTGCCGCCAACTCCGCCCGCGCTCGAGCTCCGCCGGCCCTTCCGCCAGGCTGCGCCGAGGGCGAGGGGCGAGCTCCTGGACCCCTCGAAGGCGAGCCCCCTCCCCCCATCTTGAGGCCCACCACATCCAGAGGCGACGGAGGCCCTGGAGGGAAAAACAAAGCCAGACACCCAGCGGCTCGATCCTCTCGAGGAGCGTGCCGCGGGACCTCTCGGCACCTTACTGGGGACACAACTTTTTGAAAACCCCACTGGGCAGGCCGAGGCGGTTAGACTTCACGACGGGAAGTCCAGACCCGCCCGACCCACCCTGCACACAGCAACCGCCGGGCCCCAAGGGCCCTGGCGCTCCCAGGGTCTCCCGCCTCGCATCTCCGACGTGTGACGACTGCGTGCCGCGGCCGCCAGGCCCCGAGGGGTCCGGTGCTCCTTGGGAATCTCGCCTCGCGTTCTCGGGTGGGGATCGCTCGAAGCGAAGTTATCTGTGCCGAACCGTTCTTGGACAGCCTTTGGGCCCGAAGCCGCCCCCAGAAGCTCACATCGGAAAAAGAAGCCAGCCGCCGCGATTTCTGTGAGCCGCCGGACGTCTGTGCCAGGGGGTCAGAAAAATCGGGCCCCGGACCTGTCCAGCGGAGCGCCCTGGCCAGAAACCGAAGAGGAATCCGGCCGCGGCGACGAGGGCGCTGCAAGAGGTCCCAAGAGAAAAACGAAAAAAACAACCCGCGCAACAGTCTCGACCCTCGACCCTGCCTCGTCGAAGTGGGCACTGAAAGATGGCTCGGCGGTTGCCACCGGCGCCCCTGGCCAGAGGTGCCCCACGGCACCTCCTGGCAGGCCCCCCCGGCAGCTCCTGGGGCCCCCTGGGCCCCGCGAGGCGTGCTCCAGGGAGGCCGTGGGGGCCCCCTGGGCCAGGTTCGCCTCCGGCAGCGCCCGACTGCGAGGATCGGGGATGGACAGACCTCCCTTTAGTAAAACGTGGTTTGGTGAGAACGACCTCGGGCCCAGACCTGGCGGGCGCAAGCCTGGAAAATGACGGCCGCGGCGCCCTCTCGAGAAGCGAAGACGGACAAGTCACTAATCGACGTGCCACTGTTGGGGGTTCTGTCCACCCCCGAGAGGACGCGGGCCGGGCGTCCTCCGGCCCGACCAGGTCCGGGCACGGCGCGGGCACGCCGCAGCCGCCGCCCGAGGCGCCCCGCGTGGGCATGAGGCTCTCGGAGAGCCCGTCGTAGGCCTGCCGGGGGCGCCGCGGCAGAGAGGGGCGCCGGTGCCGCAGGCCGCGCGGGGGGAGGGCGGCGACGACGCCGCAGGATCGACCAGCACCGAACTTCGGGGGCGTCCAGGAGGGTGGCGTCCAAAGAGGGGGTTCGCAAGTGGGGGCCACGGGACGCGCGGAAGGAAGGCGAGGGGGCGTGAAGCCTGGGGAGGCATCTTTGGGCCACGGCCGTGCTATCCCCCCTCCCCCTGGTCATCCCCCACCGCCTGGCCGCCCCCGAGACTTGGGGCCAGAACGTGCGTCGGATCGGGCCGCATCGGCACGGAGTCGGAATCGAAGCGGATCGGCTGCGCCACGGTGCGCGACAGCTCTCGGAGAGCTCGTCGCAGGCCTGCCGAGGCGCCGCGGGGGCGCCGCAGGCAGGGGCAGACCAAGGCTCGAGGATCGAAGTGGCGATGGCATTGTTCTGGGTCTGTGTGTTGCTCTTGATTTTTGGCGGGGTCCTCCGGCTGCCTCAGGGGCCTCTGGGGACCTCTGCGGAGACCCCTGGGGACCCCCGCGGAGGTGACGGCTGCCGAGGCGACGGCGACGGCGACGTCGGCGATGCCAGCGGCGATCATTTGAAGACCGTTTGTGCTGCTGCTAGCTCGCGTACCGTCTTCCTTCATGCGCATTCCTCTCCCTTGTGCCCGCCCTCTGAGCCTGTGAACGTGCCGCCTTTCAGGGGGTCCTCTACTTCATGCCAGCTCCTGGGTAACCCCCGAAGAGATAAGAGAAGTCATGAAAACGCAGAGCTCGGACCCGAGAGTGGAAAGAGGAAGGAGGGATGAGAGAGAGAGAGACGAGGAAGTAATCAATTGATGAGGGAGGCCGATCTACCAATGAGGACCCAACTCGCACATCATAGTAGGGACAGTTGTAATGACGTCGGCGACATTCATGTTCGCCAGCCTACACGCAAGAGCGTCACCTTGGCCTTTGACGGAGCGTCAAGCAAAACACAACTCAGACCGCAGCGTAGTGACAACGAATGTTGGTCTTAAGCGTGAGTTGAATGTATCAACGCAGTGTTTTGAACGCAGTACTTTTGACGAAGTTTTTGGTTTGTTTACTTTGTTCGTGATTCAATATGTATTACGCAGTGCTTTTTAGCGCAGTGATTGTTTACGCAATGTTTAAAACGCGGTGTTTTCAACGCAGGATTTTTTCGACCCAATGATTTTTTACGCAATGTCTTCCACCCCGTGTTTTTAACGTAATGTTTTTTTGTAAGTTGGGTTTTGTTTCTGGCTTTTGCTTTCTTTCCGGGTGTCGGTCTTCTGGCTTCTGTTTTCGCATTTTTGGGTTCCGCGTTTCGGCCTGGCTTTCGGGTTCCGGTTTTCTGGCTTCGGATTTTCAATTCTTTGGGTTCCGCGTTTCGGGCCGGCTTTTCGGTTTCGATTCTCTGGCTTCGGCTTTGCGATTTTTTGGGTTCCGCGTTTCGGGCTGGCTGTCGGGTTTCGATTTTCTGGCTTCCGATTTTTTTGTTCCGCGTTTCGGGCCGGCTTTCGGATTTCGGTTTCCTGCCTTCGGATTTTCGATTTTCTTGGTTCCGCGTTTCGGGCTGGCTTTCGGGCTTGATTGTCTGGGATTATCTGGCTGCGGGTTTCGGTTTGCGGGCTTCGCGTTTCCATTTTCAGTTTTGCAACGCCTGGTACAGCGCCTAGTACAGCGCCTAGCACAGCGCTTAGTACACCATATAGTACAGCGCCTAATCGCGCGGCGCACTACGTAGAACACACTACGTAGAAAGCACTACGCAGAAATCACTACGTAGAAAGCACTACGCAGAAAACACTACGTAGAAAGCACTACGCAGAAAACACTACGTAGAAAGCACTGCGTAGAAGACACTACGAACAAAACAAAAACACTGCGTAGAAAACACTACGTAGAAAACACTACGTAGAAAGCACTGTGCAGAAAACATCACGTGGAAAACACTACGTAAAAAAGCACGGCGTATATTTGAATTCGCGATTAAGATGTCGATTTCACGGTCAAGAGAACCCTTCATCGACAATAGCCTTCGGGCGAATGCTTTCTTTCAGCAGCTTGCTCAAAGAGACTGTCAACGAAACGCCAGAAACGAAAGACGGAACACACGGATTCAGTGGCGTGGCTCCTGCGTGCGCAGGCGGAGCGAGCAGATTCCGGAGAGATGTCGCGCTTCGCCTCTTGCTGGTGCATTGCTAGCTGGCTTGCCAGCAAGCTTCCAGACATGTACTCCTTTCGAATTCACGTGCAGGAGCGGGCCCAGAGGAACGGCCTGTCGGCGACGACCTGGTTGCACGCGTGCGGCTCGAGTGGCCTCGGCCATCGGCTTCACGTTGAGCGATAGCGGAAACCCCACGAGGGCGCAGGCCTTTCCCAAGGCGTCCCGCGGCATGAGAAAGCAACGATTGCGGGTGCGTTTGCGACTCCTACGAACGTCCTGGCATGCGAAGGCACATTCAGATGTACACAAGTAGAGCAATGCCGTAGAAATATCGCCGTATACCGAAAATCCGAGAGAACCTGAACTGGCATGAACCAACATGGCTACTGGTACCGAGTATGGAAGAGAAGGGAGTAGGAGGAGTAGGAGGAGGATGAACAGGTCTGGCGTAAACCCAAGACTCAACGATGTTGCAATAAACCCTCCCTCCGAGCTCCCTCTTCATAGGATCCCACAAATATTGATTTCCACTTGGGAAGCGCCCCCCCGAATCCTGAGCCGTGCCGGAGCACCACTCCTCGGACTTCAACGCAACGAACCAACCTGACTGTTGCGACGTGACGGTCGGGAATCGTGCCCGAACGCCATTCCTGGGACTCTTTCATCGTGAATCAGCATATCTGTTGCGCTCTGATAATCCTACATCGCTCCAGAACGCCATTTCTGATACGTTATCCATGAGACTCCTTGAAACTGATGTGAACTCTAAAGAAGAATGTGCGTGGCGCTGAAGCGAGAATCACATTTTGAAGAAGTGCCGCCCTCCATCCATTCAGTTCTGGCAATTAAAAAAAGAATGTGCGCGGCGCCTCGGCGAAAACCGAATTTTGAAAACGAGCGGCCCTCGATTTGAGAAGCGCTTCATTTTTCAAAGGAGAATGTGCGTGGCGCTGAGGCGAGAACCTTCTTTTGAGAACGACGCGCCCTCCATGCGTGAAAGTGTTGCGAACTTGCAAGCATAATAATTAGACATGGTGGAGATGTCTCAAGCGAAACACCCCGGCCCTTCCTATCAACACGTCTCGGGGTGCGGCAGGGAAGATTTATTTCATATTGATGAAGAAAAACGGATGAGGATGAGGATAATGATGAGGACGAAGCATCTGCAGAAAAATGATTGAATGAGGAGGATGAGGAGGGGGAGGACGCTTGAATGATGATGGGTAGGAGGAGTCTGGGAGCGGATGAGGAGGGGGAGGGGGAGGAGGATAAACACTCCGGGCGCGCCGCTGCCAAGCGCCCAATGGACGCGCCAGGCGAGGCCGCCCTGGAGGGGGTCCGTGCGTTACCAGCGGGGCGCGCGTCTGGCCTGGCCGGGGTAGGCGCCGCACTCCTCTGCGGCACGGGGGGGCTCTTCTCCCTCCTCGTCATCGTCGTTGTCGTCGTCGTCGCAAAGCGACGGCCGCGGGCTGAAAATAATGGAAGAACGACTCGAGAAAACGACCAGATAACATCTCCTGTTGGCATGGCATCAGAGGCACGGGAGGGGCTGGCGCCGTCACCGTCGGCGGCGGCGCGGAAAGGGGGGGTCGCCCTCTGTGATTTTCAGAGGCCCCCCCTCCCATCCCCAGAAGGGAGGAAGGCTTGCGAGCTTGCGAGGAAGGCCTCCCGAAAGGCAGGAGGGCGAAGCGAAGCGAAGCGCGCAAGTCCTCTAGAGAGGGACCTTGAAGGCCGCCGCGGGGGGGCCAGGGCCCTTACATCATGGTGTCGGAGATGTTCAGAGTGAAACCGTCGCATATGTGATAAAAGTAGAAGAAAAAACATGCCATAAGCATAAACTTTTGGCGCTCCGCGCGGATTTCTTGGATCTGCGCTGGGCCCCTTCCCTGGGGCGCGGAGCGTGCCAGGGGCGGCGCCGGAGGCGCCGCCGAGGGACTCCCTGCGTGGGTCCAAGACATCCGCGCGGAGCGCCAACATTTTATGCTTATGCCTTTCTGTCTTCTTCGAGCATATGTGATGCGTTGCCTCTCTAATCTCTGCCACACGCAGCACGCACCTAAGGCAGGATGGGGAGGCTGCGTGCCGCCGAGCCGTGGCTCCGCCGTCGGGGTATCGGAGGCTACCGAGAAGGCCCCCCGGAAGGCAGGAGAAGGGCTCTGGTAGGCCTCCGCCTGCGCGCCGCCGGGCTGCGGCCGTGGCCGTCTGCGCCGCCCTGCTCCCTCTGCTGCCGCGCGCTCGCCGGGTTCCTCCCCCTCTGCCAGGTTGCTCCTCCTCCTCCTCCTCCTCGTTCCCTTCCACCTCCGTCCCCCGTCCTCCCCCTCGCCGTCCTCCTCTTCCTTCGCCTCACCCTCCTCCTCCTCCTCCTCCTCCTCGTCCTCCTCCTCCTCCTCTTCCTCTTCCTCTTCC